CCTCTGTCTCTCTCTGGTGAGCAAAAAAATAAAAAATAAACTTGCCAGATTTCTGAAGTTATAACATAAAGGAAATCATTTACTATATTTAAATTCATTTTCTCATTCAGCAAAAAGGTTTCAGCCCCTACTATGTGTTCTAAATACTGGTCCAAACCCTAAAAAGAATAAACAAAAATCCTTGGCCTCATAATGAAGTATATTCTGCTTGAGGAGGGAAAAAATGTGTGTGCATGTAAAGTGAATAAACACACACAATGTGTGTGTACTCTAGATGAATGTGATGTGTCATATAGTAGAACTAAAAAATAAGAGGTATTAAAAGGCAGGTTTTTTTTTTTTTAATTGGCAGAGGGCACATGTAAGAGATAAAGCATCCCTTCTCTATGGGGTGTGGTCATGTTACGGTTCTTACTCCATTCCTCATTCTTATCAAGATTTTGCACACGTGTGCACATACACTCAGCATGTTTTTCAAGCCCCCAAGGACAGGATTCAAACCACAGTTAGCCATGTAGGATTTGGCTCCCTTAACTGCTGAGCTATAGAGCCAACTCAGTTTAGTGTATTTTTGAGTAATATAACAGAGGAGGCTTACTGAGGAAATGAGACAGTCAAGACTAGGAGTGAGCCATGCAACTCTCTTAAGGGGAATAGCATTACAGGCAGAAGAAACAGAAAGTGCCAAGACTGAATCAAGAACATGCCTAGCATTTTCTGGGAACAACAAGGAGCCATTGTGACTGGAACCAAATGAATAAAAGCTAAAGTAGTTGGATAGGAGATCAGAAAGTTAACAGAGGTTGACCATTGCCTAGTTGGTTATTTTGAGGACTGTGGCTTTGGCTCAGCCTCTCCATGATGCAGTCAGAGGCATATAGGACTTCAGTGCTGGAAACCACCTGGTAACCACAGTTCACTATTTTGTCTAAAAAATCAAAAACAAAACATGTGGATGCTGTAGGACTGGAAGAAGGGAACTGTAGCATGACTGACCCTGTTGAGATTATTTTTCCCACTGATACTGACAGATGTTTCTTCCTCCCTTTCTCTCATGCACTTGGAAATGCTCTGTCAGGAGTAAAGAAAAAAAAATTTAAGGACTATTGTTTTTATTCAGGCTAAGAAGGAAATTTATTGCAGGATTTTAAATAGAGAAGTGACCTACTCTGATTTATTCATTAAAAAGTTTATTCTGGTTCCTGTATTAAGATTGAACTGTTGAGGATAGGAGGAAGACAAGCAAAGGTAAAAAAGCAAAGAAAGCTGTTAGGGAGGTATTAGAGTAATATAGGTAAGAGATGATGATGACGGCTTAGAATAGAGTGATGAGTAGTGGTCAGATTCTGAGTGTGCTTTAAAAGTAGATTCAGTAACATTAGCTGTTGTGGAGTGGGGGAAATGGTGATGCAAAGATTTTTGGCTTGAGGAAATGAAAGACTGAAGTTGCCTTTTAACGGGAGGTGCAAGACAACTAGAAAGCAAATTTTGGTGAAGGTTTTCAGTAGTTCAGTTGGAGAGATGCCTACTAGACTTTTGGTAGAGGATATTGGATACAAGCCTAAAGTTCAGGAAAGTGTCTTGACTGGAAATGGAAATGTGGGAGTTTGCAGCATGTACGTGGAATTAAAAGCCATGAGAACACCTTAGAAAATGAGTATAGATAGAAAAAATGACCAAGTCTTAGAACACTCTCAATATGAAGATGCCTGAGTGACCAGGAGAGTAGAAAACCCAGGTTAATTCTGTGTCCAAAAACAAAGTTAAGAAAGGATTTTTATCTAGTAAGAAAAACTCGTAATTTGTGCCAGTTGGAGTTGGTCAGGTCATTTAAGGTTTGATAATTAACCATATGATTGATTTAGCCATGTGGACAGTGATGATATGTCATGTTGTTTTGATGAAATGATGGGCACTGAAACCTAAAATAAATTCTGGAGAGAAATTTGAGACTCTCGAGTATAGGCCATTCTTTCAATTAGTCATGAAGGAGAATTAAACTAGTAGAAGATGATGGGGTCAGATAAAAATGTTTGAATGCTGATGGGAATGAGGTAGTGGAGAGAATAATAAATGATGTGAAAGATAGGAGGGAGGATTACTGGAACATTCTCCTTAAGAAAGTCTTCTAGTGTGCATGTGGACTTAATTAGGGAAATACATATACAAGTAGTCTTTTAAAAGTTTTTGGGAGGACCAACAGATGGCATAGTGGTTACTTCGCTAGAGTCCCACATGACTGACTGCAGGTTGAGTCCCAGACCTGATGGCTTCAAAATCACACCGGACACATGTGCATCTGTGCCCAAGATCCCAGGAGGAGAATGGAGAAGGGATTGTGGCATTTCATCCTCCCTTGGAGGGGATGATTTCTCAATTTTCCTCTCACTGTCTCTTGTCTCGCCAGTAAGCACACATGCCCTCAGGCAAAAACCTCTCCCCCTCCAAAAAAACAAAGTTTATGAGAAGTATGTATTATGAAATCTGCACATGGATTTAATTTTTTTGTACCAAAATAAGCTTAATTTCATTTTCCATGATGGGTCTGAGGTACTCTCATAGTGTCATTGATTACTGATTGACATAAAGGTACATTCAAGGTGATAAATTTAAAAAGAGCATAGGCCCAGTCGTGGTGGTGCAGTAGAGAGTACAACTCTGATGTGTAGACACGTGGAAGATCACAGTTTGGTTCCTGAGTTGTCCTGTATACATCAGGCGCATGTGTGTGCCCATGGAAGATGATAGTGTAAGACTTTGTCAACAGTGCTCATCTCTATTTCATAAGTGATCTTTTTAAAACTTGATATGATCTTTTAAATAAATGAATAAAGGAGACTAGTTACCAGGCTGTTTTTTTCTCTTCCTGTTTTCAGTTGGATTTGTGCAAATGTAGACTCTAGATTTACTCAAGATTGTGATCAGGGGTGTAGATGATTGGCAGTTTTAACTGGGTAAGAAGGGGAAGGAGGATATCAAGGACTCGAAGGACAGTAGAAATGTGGTAAAAATCAAAGACTGGCAAATGGTGTGATGCTTATGTCACTGGACTCCCATGTAGTTGACCACAGTTCGGGTCCCAGACCTTGTGGCTTAAAACTCACGCTGGGCGCATGTGTGTGTGTTCCCAAAATCCTTAGAAGAGAATGGAGGAGAAGGAATTGCACATGGCCATCCCTACTAGGGGGTGATTTCTCACGTTCTGTCTCCACCAAATGCATGTACCCTATAGCAAAAACCTACCCAAAAAGAAAGAATTGTGGTAAAAATTCGAAGATGGTGACAGTAAATTTGAGAATGGTGGGGGAAGGGAAATCAAAGATCCTCAGATTGTGTTTTAGAGGGGTGAGCTGAAAAGATAGAAGTGATAGTTGAAGGGAGTATTTGAAATCGAGGTTATAGAAGCATTGCAGTTAGTGTAATGATAGAATCTAGGGTTCTACTGAAAGAATTAAGTGGCTATGGTAGGGCAAAGGTCGAGGTGTTGGTGGTTAGCAAACTGAAAGGGTAGGCTATTAATACAAGGGTCATCTATAAGTGTATTATTTTAAAATCTCCAAGAATTACATCAGGAGTTATAAAAAGTGAAAGGGCTGCAAGGGCTGCAATTTTCAAAAAATCAAAGAGTTATCCGATGGTTAGTAAATGACTAAAGTAGTTGGATGGACTGAGAGGTAAAAGTGACTTTTTTTTTTTTTTAACTTGGAGAGGTTTTTGCCACAGGGTGCGTGTGCTCGCCAGCCAGACAGAGAGAGACAGAGAGACAGAAAGTGAGAAATCACTCCCCGGGGGGGATGGACCCAACCACAATTCCCTCCGCCATTCTCCTCTGGGGATCTTGGGCACGCACGCACACGTGTCCCGCGTGAGTTTTAAGCCACTGGATCCGGGACGCAAACCACGGTTGACTATGTGGGAATCCAGTGACATAGCCATTACGCTAACTGCTGGTCCCAAGAGTGACTTTTTAGGGAGGTGGAAGAGAGAAAAAAATCTGGGACAGCATTGAGAAGCAAGGTCTCTTACTATTTCCAAAGCCTACTGATATTGACAGATGTGGGAAAGACTTGAGAGGTCTGCATGGAGAAGCAGTCTGTCAAAAAAAATCAGGGTTGGGCCAGCAGATGGTATAGCAGTTGTCACTGGACTCCCACGTGGCTGACCCTGGGTCCCAGACACGGTCACTTCACAATCACACAGGCATATGTGTCCAAGATGGGGAGAAGGGATTGCGCATGGCCATCCCTCCTGAGGGGTGATTTCTTGCTTTCCCTCTCACTGCCTCCTCCCCACCCTCCAGGGAGTGCATGTACCCTAAGGCAAAAACCTCTTAAAAAAATCAGGGTGGAGGATTACAGTAGGAAAAGGCCAACAGAATATCCTTATAAATGGATAGTCTTTTATTCTCAGGTTCTTTGATTATATGTAGGTACTTTTTGGAATACTTTCTTTAATCACCATTTTAAGAAAATTAATCTCTCTCCTGTAAGCTCAGTTTTTTAAAAGCCTTGAACCAACTTATGGTTAAAGTTGGTTATATATAATTGGTTAAATCGTTGTATGCCAAAACTTAATAAAAGTCTTTAAAGATGTGAGCAGTACACAGGCATATGGTTACTTGATCTCTTTCTATATCTCTTGCTCTCTCTCTTTTTTCCTTTTTAAGGTCTTTGCCATAGGGCTTGCCAAGAGAGATAAAGAGAGAGAGAGGGAGAGATCACCCTCACAGCAGGGATGGCCCCATCACAATCCCTTCTTTTTTGGGGGGGTGGGGTGGAGGGAGGTTTTTGTTATAGGGCGTGTGCGCTTGCCAGACAGACAGAGAGAGACATAGAGACAGAAAGCGGGAAATCACCCTGCAGGGGGGATGGTCACGCCACAATCCCTTCTCCATTCTCCTCTCAGGATCTTGGACATGCACGCACACGCGCCCGGCGTGAGTTTTAAGCCACCGAGTCCGGGACGCGAACTGCAGTCGACTAACTACATGGGAGGGAGTCCAGCGACATAGCCATTATGCTAACTGCTGGTTCCCCACAGTCCCTTCTCAACATTTCTCCTAAGACTTGGGGCACTCACACACATGTGCCCATAATGATTTTCAGGCAGCCAGGTCCGAGACTTGAACCATGGTCAGCCATGTGGGAATCCAGTGCCTTAACCACCACATACTTGCTGGTCCCAGTCTCTTCATTTTTTTACCATTAGCATAAAATCCATCTAGCTGTATCACAAGTTCCCCCCAAATGTAGTTTTCAGTTTTCCCAGTAGAGCAATACAATGGTCTTAACTTTCATAATTATTTGCCATCTCTATCATAGTGTTGTAGTCAGGTATGGATGAGGCATGAAGTAATAGTCTGAGTGAGGGAGGAATAAATATTCTTTTCATAGTTTTTATCTCTGTCTTTCTATTTTATTGACCTGCATTCATAAACTGGTATCAGTATTACTGAGGCGTTATATATATATTTTTTTTAATTTGTCAAATAGAATTTCCCCTCATCCTCTTTGCTCTTCTTCTGTTTTTCTAGCTATTACTTTTTTTTTTTTATAAGAGCTTTAGATTTGGTTATCAGATTAAATGTATAACATCAGGGAGTGCTGAAATTTGTTATTGGCATTTGTTATAAAAATTGAGATAGCATGTCATTTCATTTATTCAGGTCTTGTATGTCATCCAGTGGTATTTTGAAGGTTTGTTTCTGTGTATATATCTTGTGTATTCCTAAGTTGTGTTGTCTTTGCTATTTATTGCAAATGACTTTTTTTCTTTATATAAATTTTATGATTCAGGTATATATGTAAAATTTTGTTGTCTGTCCCAACCTTACTTGATTATTTTACTGTTTTTACTTTTTTCCTTGTTTTCTTGTTTTCCAAATAATCATGTCATCTCCACGTAATGATCATTTATGTCCTCCTTTTGTGCCTACAAATTCTCTTAACAAATTGCATTGAATTTGACATAATTTGCTAATTTTTTTTAATAGGAGAACTGGATATTCTTACTTCCTTATAATTATGGCGGACAAATTAACAAGAATTGCTATTGTCAACCATGACAAATGTAAACCTAAGAAATGTCGGCAAGAGTGCAAAAAGAGTTGCCCTGTGGTTCGAATGGGTAAGCTGTTCTGTGGATCACTTAGGAAAAAAGGTTTTGAAATAAATTGGTTTAGTAGTTCTGTGTAGGCTTCTAGCACATGCTTTGTTTTCCTCTTTCTTTTTTAGAGATTTTTGCTATTGGGTGCATGCACTCACCAAGAGGCAGACAGAAAATGAGAAATCACACACACACACACACACACACACACACACCCCGCAGGAAGCATGGCATGCTGCAGTCCCTTCCCCTTTATTCTCCTTTCAGGATTTGTGTACACATGCATACATGCCTGGCATGAGTTTTAAGCTGCTGGGTTCAGGGCTCAAACCAGTCAACTACATGGGGTCTAGCAATTTAACTATTATGTCATCTGCTGGTTACTCCTCACTACTTTATTTAAACTATAAAAATAAGAAAACCAGAGTCTGTTCTGAATTTCATTTATTGCTTTGTGAATAGATGAATCTAATTTTAAAAACAAATCAACTATAGGATAAATATATGTAAAAGTTCACTGGATGTGAAATCAAACCAGAGTTCAAGCTACTAAGATTCTTGATTTTAAGTCATAGGGAAGGGAACAATTTAAGGGATGAATTTTTGATGTATGTTAAGTAATTGTTAACTTACTGAATCTTAAAAGTAGCTTTATTATGTCAGCTGTTACTGTCTCCCATGCTCTTCAGAAATTTCATTAAGATCCCTAATAACATGTTTAATTTTACCTGTACATTAGATGACTACATAGTTTTTTTGAGTTTCACTGATTTGGCTAACACATTTCATTCCTTCATGGTGTACCTTACTATTTCCTTTTTTCCAAGAAGTTGCCTTAGGATGAGTTCGCTGGCCAGAGACAGAGAGATGGTGAGGGGGAATGTGAGAAATTACCCCCCAGTGGGGATGGCCACACCATAATCCCTTCTCCTCCATTCTCTCGGAGCTTGGACATGCATGAGCATTTGGCGTGATTTTCAAGCCACTGGGTCTAGGACTAGAACTGCAGTTGGCCATGTGGGAGTCTAACAGTGTTAACCATTACACCATCTGCTGGCCCTGTGCCTTACTATTTTCAAGGCATATTTTATGAATTAAAAGATGTAGCCTAGTCAATGTAAAAATAAAAATGTCTGAAGATCTGTCCTATTTTTTGCTAGCGTATCTTTTTCTCATCAGTAAATCAAGCAAAATATTGTAGGGTCATCTCTATTGCCCAGCAAGATTATTCATGAAAGTAATAAATTCAGAAACCTATCTCCATAAAACTCTGATTTAAGACCATTACTCCAAATTATTTCTTTGTATGGACTTTTAAAAAAAAAATCTTCCATATGGAAATTTGAAACCAGTGTTGCCTAAATAACAATGTAGAGAAAATTATAGACAATCTAGGAAAGTGACTTGTTATCTTTTCCTTTCTCAGGAAAATTATGCATTGAGGTTACACCCCAGAGCAAAATAGCATGGATTTCGGAAACTCTTTGTATTGGTTGTGGTATTTGTATTAAGGTGGGTGATAATATTTTAATTTGGGGATCAAAGTTATAACCTGAAAGTGAAATTTGAAAGTTCTGAATATATATTGTTTTTAAAGAAGCAAAATATAAAGCAAATGAATAAAGAATATAAATTTAGGAAAGTGGTATTTGTATATCAGTGATATTGTTGCTGTTTTTAATGAATTAAACCACCCTTTTAAAAAGTTTTTCTCACCACGTTTATTAGTAAAGCTATTTCCAACCGAAATTAATTTTTCTTTTTTATTATTTTTACTTTTTTTCTGATTTCTGTGAGGAAAAACATTATCTGTCATGTCTTTGCTACATAGTTTCGAAGCTCTAAATACAAAAAGCATGACTTATTAATATAGTACATGCTATTTTATTTTTAAAATTTATTTATTTATTTTAATTTGACCAGAGAGAGTGAGAAAGTGAGAAAGCAAGCCACAATGTCTGGGACTCGAACCACTGTTGGCCATGTGGGAGTCCAGCACCTTAACCACCACACCACCCACCAGCCCCAATATATTACATGTTATTTTAAGTCTGTATTTAGTTTTTAAAAACACTTTTTAAATATGCACACATCCAAAATATTTTAAATTTAACCTAATCCTTGAGTGTGTTACGTATGTTTCTATTGAATTTATCCCAATAGTGTAATTTTTAAAATAAATTAATTTTGTTGTATTTAGTAGTTTAAGCTGGTAGGTGTCTGACTTATGGATGTGTTTCCAAATTTAATTCATTAAAAATAATTCAGGATTTAGTGTGTGAAGTTCTTAATTTAAATATTTTTATTTGTAGATAATAGGAGCCAATCTCCACTATAGTATGGGTACCATCCTACTTTGTTTTTCTTTTTTCTTTTTTTTAATTGCCGGGGAAATGTGCACTTGCTAGAGAGAAGGAGAGGTCTGCCATGTGGGATCCTGCCTCCTTATGAGGCTATGAGACCAGCTGGTACCATACTGTTAATTGTTAAAATAGATCAAGTGCATATTAAGTATTAAGGTACTTATAATGTACCTCATATTTGAATAATATGGATATTTTTCTCCTTGTAAAATTAGAAAAATTTAAATCACTTGAGCAGCCTATAAGCTTTTTTTTTTTTGGAGAGGTTTTTGCTATAGTGCACGTGCGCTCGCCAGACAGAGAGAGACAGAGAGACAGAAAGTGAGAAATCACCCCCAGGGGGGAAGGCCACACCGCAATCCCTTCTCCTCCATTCTCCGATCTTGGGCACGCATGCACACACGCCCGGCATGAGTTTTAAGCCACTGGGTCCGGGATGCGAACCATGGTCGACTACATGGGAGTCCAGCAACATAGCCATTAGGCTAACTGCTGGTCCCGCCTATAAGCATTTTAAGTACATTGATAAAAAAGAGGATAATAGCTATTCTATAAATGGAGATAACTTCACTGATCAATATAATTTGTAAAAAATTAATTTGATGAGTGGTAATTAAAACAAATTGGCAGTTGGATTTGTTTGGTGGGTTGGTTTTGGGTTTTGGGGTGGTTTTTGCTTTTTTATTTTAAGTTCTCTATATTCATGTAATTTTTATAAAACAGAAGTTCACTGAAATCTATATACAGAGACTTTTGTTTGGTTCCCTGAGCCCACTTGAACACATCTATTAGACACATGTCTAATCCAAGTCTGTACTTGTGGATGTACCTCTGTAGTTTTCTGTACTTTGGAGAAATTTTTCTAGCCACATTACCACTCTTAAGTGACTTCCTGTTCTTGCCATTCTTCTTCTTCAACATTCACCTGATAAGTCAAACATTTTTTTTTTATTTATGAAAAAGCAAGATTTTTTTTAAGTGTGGATTTACTCAGAATTGAAGAATCTTTACAGATAGGATGGATAAAAGTCGCAACAAAAAAATAAATCCTGTGCAGATATGCTAGTTATTGGTGGGGTGGAAATAGTCTCCAAAAAGATAAAATCCATGACCATAAAGGACTTTACAAAGTAGAAAGGGAAGCATATAAGGACAGGAATGATTCAAGTAAATAGAGGGAAAGCATCTTCTGGATGGAATATGTAATTGTGTATTCAATGACCTTTTTTTTTTAATCTTACCTCTTAGCCTTACATAATATGGAAAAAAGTTCTTCAAGTTCTGTAAGGTTTTAAATAAGTGTTAAACACTAATTAAATGTCTAGGGTTATACTAGTCACTAAAGGGATTATCAAATTAGTATGACAGTAGCCTCCAAGAAACTAAGTTTTTAAGTAAGTAAAAAAAGGAAACAAAACAGTACTTCACGTCTTTGTGAAACTCCCATGTTTGGAAGATGGCTTATAAAAATAATCTACCCATTTTAGTCTTGTGTATATTTCTACAAATTAATACAAAATTAATTCTTTACTTTAAATAACAGAAATGCCCCTTTGGCGCCTTATCAATTGTCAATTTACCAAGCAACTTGGAAAAAGAAACAACACATCGATATTGTGCCAATGCCTTCAAACTTCACAGGTATATTTTCAAGTCAACATTATTCCTATTTACTTCAGTGGAAATCAGTAAAACACATTCAGAATTTTCAGAGAAGTGCAAAAGTGATATCAACCATCCACCCAAGGGAAATAAAATATAACATTCTTCAGAATCAAACTGTTTGTTAATTCTGGGTAACATTCAAATTCCCTGGGTGACTTATTAAAACTACTAATGCCCAGGTTTCGGCTCAGTTGAATTATACATTATAATCTTTGGACATAGGTTCTAGACCTTAGTTAGATTAAAAAAAATAATAATAAGTCCCAAGTGATTCTAATATACGACCAGAATTAAGAATCACTGATTTTCATAGTACTCATATCCTCAAAATGACTTTTACTAGAACTTGTCTTTAATTTTATGTATTCATTAATCTCATGATGTACAGAGAATATCACTCTTAACTGAACATATACTATTAACTCACAAACAGGTCCTTAGTTTTTTAGGATTTTATCTGTTGAACATTAATATTTTAAACATGAAAGTATAGATTTTACTAATAAAAAGGTATTTCTCAACCTGCCAGCTTTAAGGGGCCTACTGCAGCAGGGAGAATGAAGTGGAATATTTCTGGTTGATGGGGCACTTCTCTCCTTGTAAGTAAATGGCAGGCCAGGGGGAAAAGAAAAAAAGAGGACAGTATGAGGTTGCACCTGCTATGTAATTTTGTACCAAAGCATTTTGTTACATATTAAAACTGAGTCTTATTTGTGATGAAGAAATATTACTTTAGAACGGGCTTTGAATGAAAATTAGATAAATAAAATTTGGAGTAATATTGGTCATGGTTGCATTTTTAACAATTAACACTTAATCTTGGCTGTTTTGTTTCTAATAGCCAATAATATCTGGCATTTTTTAGCTTATTAACATGTGTGAAATGCAAGTGCATTAAAATATATTGTTTTGGTATTAAGTCACTTTTTCTAAATCATAATTACAGTATTTTTTTGTGTGTCCATGAGACAGGTTGCCTATTCCTCGTCCAGGTGAAGTTTTGGGATTAGTTGGAACTAATGGTATTGGAAAGTCAACTGCTTTAAAAATTTTAGCAGGAAAGCAAAAGCCAAACCTTGGAAAGTATGATGTATGTATAATTACTTAAAAGAATAACTTGAGTCAATTTTATGAGATTACGGGAGGAAGCTATCATTTTTTCTAAAGTTCTCATTTTCATGTTTATTTGTAGAATTCATGCTGAGAAACTATATAAATGAAGCTCTTTTATTAATTAAAATTTATTAGTCTTAACTGAAAATTCTGAGTATCATAGAACTTTTGAGTTAGTATACCTTGATTTGAAATTAAATCCACTTTTAGTCTTAAAGTTAAGTTAGAAGATAGAAGTGTACTCTTTGGATATATGTTCTCTTTTGTATAACATTCAGCCTCTTTACAATTGTTCTATTAATTTAAATTCAGAAAATTTTGTGTATATTCTAGGATCCTCCTGACTGGCAAGAGATTTTGACTTACTTCCGTGGATCTGAATTGCAAAATTATTTTACCAAAATTCTAGAAGATGATCTTAAAGCCATTATCAAACCTCAGTATGTAGACCAGATTCCCAAGGCTGCAAAGGTCAGTAGCCTTTAGTAGGAATTTATGTAATGTAGATATTGATTGAGGTCTAAAAGATGTATTAAAACAATTTTTATTTTACTTCGTGACTTTAATATTCAAGGAATATAGTGGTAACTATTTCTGGTATTATTACAGGGGACAGTGGGGTCTATTTTAGATCGAAAGGATGAAACAAAGACACAAGCAATTGTATGTCAACAGCTTGGTAAGTGTTCATTTTATATGTGTATTTTAATGGGCCCTAATCTTAAATCACAAGTTGTCCTCTGTATCTTCAGGGGATAGGTCTCAGAAACACACATACACAGACACACAGACACACACACACACACACACACACACACACGTAATTACATGTGTGTAGATACCAAAAGCTTTAGATACTTAAGTCCCTTACATAAAACGGAATAGTATTTGCATATACCATATACACAGCCTTATGAATACTTTAAATCATTTCTAAATTTCTTGTAATATCTAATATAATGTAAATTCTATGTAAATCTTTCATTGTATTGTGTACCAAATAATAACAAGGAAAAAAGTCTGTGTTTAGTATAAGCATGACCATTGGAGGCCTAACTACATAGCACACGGCATGAAAATCACAGCCTTTTTGATCCACAATTGGTCAAATGTGGAAATGGAACCCGTGGTTATGTGGTGCAGACTGTATGTACATCTTTATATGGATTACTGAAATAAATGGGGAAATCTGTAGTAATGTCATATTTACTTTTTGTTTTACACAGTTTTCAATTAAAATGTCACTCAAATCCTGAATGATGATCTGTGGTATAGTCTTTGACCGGAAGAAGTAAAATAAAAAACTTTTAACACTGAACCCAATGCTCCTGTTTTTTGTAGATTTAACCCACCTAAAAGAACGAAATGTTGAAGACCTTTCAGGAGGAGAGTTGCAAAGATTTGCTTGTGCTGTCGTTTGCATACAGAAAGCTGATATGTAGGTTACTTTACAATTTTTGTATATCTTGATTCCTATTTTAGAGTTTTTATTTGTGGTGCTAATAAAGCAGTGGTTTTGAGAAACATTAATGAAAATGGTGCCTAAGGGTCTAATCTAAAGGTAAGATGTTAAAGCAATAGTATATCTACTACTCATTTTTTGTTGTTGTCGTTATTCCCATGGTGTATGGAGGGGTCTATCATGTACGTAGGGCAAGTAGTTTATGATTTCTATGTTCCAGAGCTTGCCTTTTTCCCCATTCACAAGGAGCATGTGCATTAACCAGAGAGAGAGAAAGCAACCCCCAATGGGTCATGGTCATACCACAATACTTTCTCCTCTGTTGCTCTATCCTGACAGTATTTAGGACATGCACACACATGCCCTGAGAATGTTTTTCAGGCTGCCAGGGATGGGATTTAAACCACGACCAGCCACGTGGGATCCAGCTCAAAATAAAACATTTAACCACTGTGTTATGGGGCTGGCCCAGAGCTTTTTATTATAGTTAGTGGTTTATAACATAAGCTTTCTTTTTAGTTTAAAATATATATATATATATATTTCTTAAGACTTAGCTTCCCAGTCCAGCAAACCTTTTACATATCTCAAGTAAAATATGAGATCTTGTATATTACCCTTAATCAAGTTCACAGGTGAGGGAGAAAGGGAGAATGGGAAAGGAAAGTTTCCTCCCTACCTAATATTGCCTCCCTTCTCCCAGAGATGTGTTGCTCCCATCTTTTCCCACATTTCTACCGTGGCATCCAATGCAAGCTAGCTCTGCTATACAGATTATTCCACAAATCTGTGTATTGCCCTCCAAAAATCTGTTTGCTTTAATGCAGCTAACTTTAACTAATTTAGAGAAAAGCTTTTCAAACTACTTCAACGTATGTCAGAGTATTTTTATAGCCTAATCTGCAAGGTTCTTCCCAAACATGTCATATAGTCCTACTTTCCATAATTTTTTTCTTCTATTTCTGAACAGAATATAGGGACTTTTACTAGTATATGAGGAGATTGTTATTGAACCAGAAGTTGTTAGTACAGTGTTTTAAAATAACACCAAGATAGCATTATGTCATATTAGTCCTTCAAAATAATACTTGCTTTTCCTCTCCTAGTTTCATGTTTGATGAACCTTCCAGTTACCTAGATGTCAAACAGCGTTTAAAGGCTGCTATTACTATACGATCGCTAATAAATCCAGATAGGTAAGTACAGGTTTTCTGTGGGGAGTTTTATAGATTTCTAAAACTTAAACACCAGGATTATCACTGTCAGTATTTTTCATCTTCATTGTTTGTACTCAGCCATCTGAATTTCTTGAGCAAGATTCATTTATTAATACCAATTTCCAGAGAGCCTAGAAATACTTCAAATTATATGGAGATTTTGGCATAGATCTGTGACTTTTGTTAGGAAGTAGATCCTTAATTTTTAATAGATCCTAAAATGGATATTTCTTTCATCTTTCTCACAGAAATATACACACATCTCTCTTACATACACACACACACATGTACATGCTTAGAACATTACAAGAACCATCAAATTCCGGTTGTTTGGAATCTTCTGAGTAAACGAGTTCTGTTTTTTCAGTCTTTCTGATTTTATTTTCTCCTTTCAAATCATGATAACAAATGTTGTCTTAACTGGTGGGTCTGTAAACACAGGCTTATCCATCCCACGGACAGGCAAGGCAAATGCGCCTTCTTGAAATGGTCCCACCATGGACCCTCTGGTCATCCAACCCTAATCACACCCTTTGCCTGACTTTATCTTCACTTTATTGTGTGGCTGCTTCATTGAATCTCATTCCAGACTTTAACTTTTCCAAGGCTTCCATAATTTTGCCCTGGTTTTCACATAGAATGTATCTGACCTTTATTGCATTGCCACCACCTTTGGGATCCTAAGCCTTCTTGTCAGCACTCTCCGTCTCAGACCCTTGTTCCCCCTTTATCCCCTTTTCCAGAACTACTTTTTCCTTTGGACGGCATCTTCAAGATTTGCCAATGAACATTCAGCCCTTGAGTAAAAGAGTTCTTAATAACCTCTGTTTAGTAACACAACCCTATGCTTTTGGAGTTGGTGGAGTTTTTAAAGTCAGTGTCTCATTTGATCCTCAGAGTAATCTTGTAAGAATGTTTAGGTAGTATTCCCATTTTTCAGATGAAAAAGTCTAAGATCAGAAAAGTTTAGTTTAGTCAACTCTGTTTTGGTCTACATCTACAAATTCAGTCAACCAGTCAGGCCACACTTAACTGTTAAAAAATGAGAAGAGGAGGAGTGGCTCCCTAAAAGAGAAACACTATAGACAGTTATCTGTGTGTGTTTGTTTGTTTTCACTTCTATCTGATACTGAGATTACTTATAGGTAATGTAGAGAAGATTTCAAGTATATGCAAATATACTGTTTCATGTAAGCATCTTGAGCATCCAGGGACTTCAGTATCCTTCAGGAGTCCTGGAACCAACTCTGTGTTGATAACAAGGGATGACTTATTTGAACTAGATTACGGATTTACTATACAATGAAGCTATGACCAGACCTAGGATTTTCTTCTGTATAGTATTTTCTATACTGTCACTCTTTAGTAGCTGATTAAATATATATCATTTTAAATACACAGCTGATGTTCCAGTGAAGCAAAAGACATCTTAAATCAAAACCCAAAGTGAGAACTACAAAGAGGAGAGATAAGGGCATGGATTCCCAGATGTTGCTAGTCTCTATAATAGGTCTTGGGTGTAACACCCAATTGTGGACAGGAAGCAAAGCCTTCTATTATCACACTTAAAATGCCAGGATTATCAGAGGACTTCTTTCTTAGCAAAAGGGCAAATTGGAAACAAATTGCCCATTGGCTCATGGTAATATTGAGGAAGCATAAATCTGTCTGTTGGGAGTGGAGGAATGGTTCCCTTTGAATTTTTTTTTTTTTTAGAGACATTTTTGCTATATGCCGTGTGCACTCACCAGAGAGACAGAGAGAAGGTGAGAAATCACCCCCACCCGCTAGGTGAGATGGCCATTCTGCAATCCCTTCTCCTCCATTCTCTCTCTGGGATCTTGGGCACGTACACACGTGTCCCAGCATGAGTTTTAAGCCACTGGGTCCGGGACTTGAACTGCGATCAGCTACGTGGCTGTCCAGTGACCTAACCATTACACCATCTGCTGGTCCTGAAATTTTTTTTTAAAGAGGGTTTTTTTTTTTGCTATAGGGCATGTGTGCTCACCGAAGAGACAGACAGAAAGTGAGAAATCACCCCTTAGGGCAGATGTCCATGCTGCAGTCTCTTCTCCATTTTCCTTTTGGGATTTTGGGCATGCACATACATATGCCTGGCATGAGTTTCCACTGAGTCTAGGACTTGAACCTAAGTCCTCAAACTCCATTCGACCATGTGGGAGTCCAGCACCTTAACCACTATGTCACCTGCTAGTCACAAAGGATGGCTCTTTTTGACATCTCTATTCATGGGCTGCAACTCATAGAGTATGGAATTGAAAGTTTCATAACCCGTGGAGTCTATGAAACTTTCAGGGTAAGAAAGTAACATTAGAAACAGTGGTCCTAGAGTTCATAGTTGCATGGCACACGGTAAAGGCAAGTGCGTTTTTGTATTGAAAAGCACAGAAAAATATGTCATGACTTTCCTGACAACCTAATAAATCACCCTGGAGAGAGAGAGAATACCCTCAAATGGGTTGTAAAGGATTTCTACAGGTAAAGCTTCATGAATATTAGTGCAAATCTAGGGTTATAAATTACAACTGAAAACCATCCTCACACTTATCTGCAGATATAATAAGACAGTAGGATTGCATGTTAGAGAACTTCAGTGACATTCTGAAAGAGCGTAAAATAATTAAAAAATATTCAAGAGGATACAAACCCGATGGTACCAAAAAATAGGTAAATAATTCAAAATCTAGACAGATCTAGAAATTATATGTAGTGACATTAAGAAGTAATTTACAGCTGGATGGCATGAATTTCAGTATGTGAGTGTTCCCACAAATCAGAAGAAAACGGCCTCCAGCGCATATACCCACTTAAAATGAGTAAACCTAAGAACTATTCTGTGTAGGAAGAAGAGGAAAATGAAATAAATAGCAGCTATAGATGGACCTCAAAGGGGGGGTGGGGAAAGTAATACTACAGCAGCCCTTTTTTTCAATATTATGAGATATGAAGATTTTTTGGATCATATCCTTGAATAAACAAAGATTAGCAAAAGTATAGCTTGGCAAAAGTAACAGTTGCATAGGAGGTATTACAAGTTGGACCTCAGAGCATTATTAGTAAAATTAAAGGCTAACAGTTAACCCCAATTAATTGTAGAGTATAATTTTTTAAAAATTTTATTTATTCATTTATTCTAATTTGACCAGAGAGAGAGAAAGTGAGAAAGCAAGCCACCAGGTCCAGGATTCGAACCACGGTTGGCCATGTGGGAGTGTCCAGCATCTTAACAACCATGCCATCTACTGGTCCATAAGTATAAATTTTCACAAAACAGATTTCTATTTCTCCTCAAATCCTCAGAAAACAGAGAAGCTTACCTAAGTTATTTTTACATTTTGGACTTCTCTCTGCAATAGATTCCATTTGAAGGTGGGGGAGACAAGAAGTTTGATCTATTTTTACCTTCTTTCAAAAGTAAATTAAAAGCCACTACATGACACTATGCTGCCTCACATCGGGGCTTTAAAAAAGTATAGGATTTTAATGATAAAAGAAAAGGTATTTCAGGGGATGGATCAATGCCAACAGAGACAAGGCAGGGTAAGTATCAGGTCACCTATGTAATTTTCCATTTATATTGATAGTAGAACCATAGCGGTAGAAAACAGTTCCTCTGATTTTTCCCTTTTCATGTTAGATTCCCCTCTCCCCCATTCGTGTTCATTTTTTTCTTTTACCTCTTAACATCAGATTATTGTCTCAATTTCTGTTTAGTCATTCTGTTGCTTAAAACAAAATACCTGAGTCTGGGTAATTTAGAAAATAGAAGTTTGTTCAGCTCATAGTTTGGAGGTCCAGGGACCACATGCTGGTGGGATCCTGAGGCCATGCATGGAAGGCATCAGATGACAGAAGCATGTGTTGGTGTCCATGCGTTTATGTCTGCCTGTCTCATTCCGTTTCCTTATAAACCCACCAGGAGTCAGTCAGGAGGGCCCTGCCCTAATAGCCTTAATTCTGATCTCCCAAAGGCACCATCTTTTAATACTGTAATTGGATTAAGTTTTTGCCCTTAGTCTCATTAAACTGGCTCAACCCATGAATTTTGTGGGGACATATCAAACTATAGCAATTTCTAAAAAATAAACTATGGTTCTTTTTTCTTCCTAGATTAATCTTGAAATGTATTTTCATATAATTCTCTTATTTATCCATTGTGCTATAACCTCTAGACATATGTTTAAACATTTGAAATGAAATTAAACATTAATTTCTTCAGTCAGATTAGGTAGTCCCATTTGTGGCTAGTTGCTGCCATGTGGGACAACATAGAACATTTCCATAATCATAGACATTTCTCCTGGGCAGCCCTATTTCAAACCTTCCATCTTGTTCATTGCCAATTAACTTTAGTCCAGATTCTTCAGTTTTGTCATTCAACAGCTTTATTAAAGTATTTAGTATATAGCGTAAGACTAAATCATAGAGGTGCAAGTACACTAGTGTCCCCCCTCTTATCAGGGGTCTTACTTTCCCCCATTTCAGTTACCCAAGGTCCAGAAGCATTGGATAGTAAATTCCAGTAATAAACAGCTTCTAAGTTTTAAATTGCATGCTGTTTTGAATAGCATAATGGAAACTTGTACCTTTAGTAGGTGGAGATTCAGACAGATGACTAGGAAAGAGAACATACAAAATGGAGAGGGAGCTTAATCAGGAAGAAAGATCCATTTTACATTGTTTCTTGTACATAAATGAAGTAACAAAGACAGTAAGGTGGTAGCTAAAGTTTTCAAAGGTCTTGACGCCTGAGGATATTACTAATTTCATATGGAATTGAGAGTCTTATAGGGGAACTAAGTAAAATGAAATTTGTCAAAAGTCTAGCAATAGAAAGAAAATAACCTGAATTTAGAGAAGGTGGACAAAATTGACACAAGAGAGCTCACAGACTTGACAGTTTTTAACAGGAAGAAAATGAGTGATTTCTTGTGGGAGTGCTAATTCCATTGACACAGATACGGAGAATGTTTTTATTTGTGCAGGAAGCTTGTACATCAAGTTGACATTTGAGGTGTCTGCAGGACATTTTTCTAAACATCTTGAACTAAGTAAGGTGTACTAGTGATGAAGTGCTGCATAAAAGCTTCCTGACTTCACTCACCTCATAGCTCCTACTCCAGCAATACTTTTGTTTCACTTCTTTCAAATTCCATCCCATTCATAAGGCACATCAGTATACATCAATCTGTTTCCTTTCTGACTGTCGATGGGTTTTATTATATATTTTTTCCAGTCTTTATTATTTAATAACTAGATCTTTCAGCTAAATTTAAAGTTTTCAGGAAGGTTAGAGATTCTGTCATAGCTTTTTCTGGTCTCCTACTGCAGCTGGCATGGGACAGGACAAGTATAGGGTTTAATAAGTTGAATAGCATACTATTAGAATAGTATGCATAGAAAAATATGTCATGACTTTTCCACAGATCCAGTACTTTGTACAGTTTATTTTAAAATATGTGCCCTATGTATAAGCAAAACACATGTGTCTCATATATCCATAAACTTAAGCTATTTTTTCGCTTCCTTTATAGTTTAGGGAAACATTTTTAAACATGAGTACTGATACGGAGACTCATTAAATTGTTTTATGGTCTTATGTTTCATATGTTTATGCTTAGTTTTTTAAAAATATATTTAGATAAAATTTACAAAAGTTATCTACGAATTTTAGCTAATTATATGTTATGTTAAATTTTAAAATAAAACTTTTGATTTTCAGATACATCATTGTGGTGGAGCATGATCTAAGTGTATTAGACTATCTCTCTGACTTCATCTGCTGTCTATATGGTGTACCAAGTGCTTATGGTGTTGTCACTATGCCTTTTAGTGTAAGAGAAGGTAACCTAAAAAACATTTTTCATATATATGGTATTCTCTTACATTCTAATAATTAGAAAATGTATTATATTTTGATATTAAGTAGTTTTGTGTTTCTCTAGTATTTATTCAAAAATCCTGGTCTCTTGAGAATTGATCACTGAGTAGAATGCATACATAATGTTATATAATCGACACTTTTCTTTTTTCTATCGGGTGGTTAGAAATTTGTCCTCTGCATATTTATCAATGACAGGCCAGTATCATTAATGAAACTTAATTGTTTGCTCCTCTCGTTTTTATTTTTCACATCTGTGATCTCTAACCTAAGTTTATAGAACTAAGACGATCTAAAAGTATAAGGATAATTTAGGAAGTATATTAAATTTTCATTTTTTCCTTCCACTTGCATGAAAGAATAACTCTAATCTTTCTCTTCCATGCCTCCTCATCTACGCAAGTTAAAACGAGTGCCAGTGCACTATCCACCTTCCCTTTTAATTTCTTTCCCATTTTCCTTTCATTGCTCCAATACTTCAGTTTTCCTTTATATGTTAGCTACGTCTTTGCTGACAATGTAGAATACAAAGAGGACTATTTAGTGTGTATCTTGCGGGGGGGGGGAATCATTTTTTTTTCTAGAAGAATTCATTTAGCTTTCCATTTCCCGCTTTCTTTATTCCTTTATCTCTTCAAAAAAATAGTTTTGGGGTACCTAAAAGACTCTTATAAAATTATTGATGGCATATCATACTTTTCATTAATAAAAAGTACCTTCTATCATTTATAAACACTTTCAAGATGTGGAGGAATTGCAGTAACTGATCTGCTTAAGCATTTTAGATAAATACTGTGTTATCAGGAAAGTCATGACACATTTTGCATGACTTTCCTGATGACCTAATAGCACTTTTTTTTAAAGTATTATTTTATCTAACTTTAAGAGAGAGAGGGGGAAAGTGAGAAAGCGAGCCACCAGGTCCAAGATTCAAACTGTGGTCAGCCATGTGAAAGAGAGTCCAGCATCCTTAACTACTATGCCATCTGCTGGCCCCCAATAATACAATTTAAGGAAAAATTTGTCAGGCTATCTGTTCTTGCCAGTAGTTGGCCTTAACTATCATGCCACATGCTGTTCCCACTAGTAGTCTTAAGGGATGCTATCAGAACCCATTGTTAATATTTTAAAGAAAATAAGTATTTATTTAGTATATTACTCTACATCTTATAGTAATTCTAGAATCAAGTTGTTAATGACCTACTCAGCAGACATTCTTAACAATTTCACTTAGAAATCTCATACCATTCTAACGGTATCCTGTGACTTTTAATGTGCCTCATCTATGAAAACGATTTAAAGTAAGAAACTGTATGTAATCTTCTGCTTTTCTTCAATATACTGAAATTAACATGGTATATATGGGGAAGAGCAGTTGGCATAATGGATATGTCGCTGGACTCCCATGTAGTCGACCATGCAGTTCGAGTTCCGGACCTGGTGGCTTAAACTCATGCCGGGCGCATGTGCGTGCGTGCCCAAGATCCTGAGAGGAGAGTAGAGGAGAAGGGATTGCGGCGTGGCCATCCCCCCTGGGGGGTGATTTCTCGCTTTCTGTCTCTCTGTCTGTCTTTCTGGCAAGCGCATGCACCCTATAGCAAAAACCTCTCCAAAAAAAAGAGGGAAAAAAAGAAACATGGTATATATGAAAGCTCTCTATGAATGGTAACTTTATTATAGTTTAGATAGACTTAAATTTAAAGTGATGAGACAAATATTGCAGTAGGAATGTAGACTGACTTGGTTTTTTGAGCTTTTATTTGAGTCTTTATTTCCTTACCTGATGAATTAAATATTTGGACTAAGTCACCACTAAGGTTCCGTCAGTTTGTTTGTCTTTAGAGATTTTTGCTAGAGGGCACATAAGCTTGCCAGAGAGACAGAAAGTAAGAAATCACCCCCTGGGGGCTGGTCCATGGCGCAATCCTTTGTCTTTCATTCTCTTCTTAGGACTTGGGGCACCCACACACACATGTCCATTGCGAGTCTTAAGCTACCAGGTCTGGGACTTGAACCGCAGTTAAGAATCCAGTGACATAACCATTACACCATCTGCTGATCCCCAGAGTTTGTTTTAATGTAGTTTTTGGTTTTAATTTTTGTAACTTCACATTTATAATTTTTAAATAGTCAAAGTTCAAAAAATATGATTTTAGCAAAATAAATAGCTGTTCATTTGTTTTGTAAGCAAAGTAACTGAACCCCCCACCCCCCGTGTTCTAGGCTAAGGATACAACCCCCCTCCTGCCATATTGCTCTTTAATTCCAAATGAAGTGAATAGCATCCTTTGACTCCCTTTCAAAATCTTCTGAAACTTTAGTTTCTGTCATTGTTTTACTTAACTTCATATATGTGTGTGTGTGTGTGTGTGTGTGTGTGTGTGTGTGTAGGAAAATTATTTCCCAGGTAATCCACATGTTCATTTTTGTGTGTCTGCCACTGGATCTTAGGATTTTAGTAGGGAGGGATTCTCTTTACAATGTTAATTTACTTTTAAGTTATTAAAGTTTGTTTAGATAGTAATGGTTGTCTTTGCATACTGAAGCCAAAACAAACATTATTAGCTAATTACTTGTGAATTTGCAAAATTAATCTGAAATAATTAAATACCAGTAATTATGTAAAATGTTACTATAGATCCTAAATTATTTCTTTTATCAGTTTCATACCAGCGTATGAAATTATTCCATTCTTATCTATAATTTTTTAGAGAAAAAATGCTATTTTTCACTTCCAAATAGCATGAGTTAGATCATATATTGTTTTTTACATGAAACCTGATGGGGGGAAAATCTTATATAAAAATCACGTGATTGTGAAAAGACATGTCTCATATGTGTGTAAATGCAGATTATACTTATTGGATACATAAAAAATTGACATGCATACCTGTGGTTTAACATAAGTTCACAGAAATTTAAATCTATAAAATTACAGAAATTTAAAATTTGTATGTCTAGGATTTTTTCTTTCATATGACTACTGGCTTAGTCTTAAGTTGATCTTTACTGATCTGTTAACAATTGTTTTTCCAACAGGTATCAACATTTTTTTAGATGGTTATGTTCCAACAGAAAACTTGAGATTCAGAGATGCATCACTTGTTTTTAAAGTGGCTGAGACAGCAAATGAAGAAGAAGTTAAAAAGATGTGTATGTATAAATATCCAGGGATGAAGAAAAAGATGGGAGAGTTTGAATTAGCAATTGTAGCTGGAGAGTTTACAGATTCTGAAATTATGGTGATGCTGGGTGAAAATGGTAAGTGTTTCATAGTTGGTGAAATATAAAAGTATGTTCTGTTTATCTAGTTAAATTAGTTTTAATTATTCCATGAAAAACTTTGACTCAGTTATAGGGTTCAGAGCTGAGTTTTTGTTTTTATGCTAGAGTGTGCACACGATAGAGAAAGCACCCTTCCCCCACCCCCCAGCAGACCTCACAATCTCCTTTCTTCTCTCTGTCCTTTCAAGATCCTGGACACGTGTGTGAGCACATTGGTACCCCAAAAACATTTTTCAAGCCACCAGAACCAGGCCTTGAACACTGGTCACCCATGTGGGATCTGGCTTCTTTGTAGGTCTAGTAACTGAGCTCCAGCCTGTTGGAACTGAGTTTTAAATCCATGTTTCTCAGGGTGCTATTTAATCAAGTTTATATTTTTTTATTTTGTTTCATGAACTCCAATGAAAACAAAGTTGCTATGTCTCATCTGGTTTTTCTGTGTATAAATTAATAAGGCAGTTACTCATCTCTCAAAGTGACTAGGAGGGAAGAGATAAACGTGTAACTCAGAAATGATAGAGCTTAAAATTTTTTTCATTATATGCTTCCATTTGGAATCTTTCTTATATTACATAATCTATCTTTGTAACTAGTTGTATTACCATCATTTATAATACTAAGTTACCATCTTAAGTATATTAAATAAGTCTTAAACTATCTCAAAACTTCACAGACCTGCCATCTATTAAAATCGGCATTATAAGCTTTTGGCTAGTCTTCCTCTTTAAGATTAGAATGAAATTTGAGAGGTGAAAGATGAAAAAATTAGTATTTTCCTAGATAACCTTCAGAGTCCAGTAGAGTAGAGTCACTGTGTATCTTTAAAACAAATTTCTAAGTTAAGATCAAATAGGACAGAGAGATTTACTCTAAATGTTAAGCATTTTTAATGTAGTTTGTTTAAATGTTGTTTTCAGGCACCGGTAAAACGACATTTATCAGAATGCTTGCTGGAAGACTTAAACCTGATGAAGGAGGTACTGTAAAGTTGAGTCCTTTAACTTGTTCCACATAATAAACTTTAGAGATCTAGGTGGTCTTCAGTGTTTTTATGTAATTTGTATTATTTTGCAGGAGAAGTGCCAGTTCTAAATGTCAGTTATAAGCCACAGAAGATCAGTCCCAAATCAACTGTGAGTTGTTATTTTATATAAAGAAATTTTTATGTATATGCATATAACTTTGATTTTTTTTTGCCATATTGAAGTTCTTTTCCTAGTTAGATTCTGCAGTTTTATTAAAGTGGTTAATGAAGGTACTTACATTAAATCCATGATTTATTTCCATCAGTAGAAAAATGCTTCTTAAATCTATTAAGCGCCTATTTCCAAAATAAATGTTTTAAAAACCTGATGTATTTTATGCTGCAATGACACCATTTAGGGAGTGAAAAGGCCACAAACAAGATGGGAGAAACATTTGAACAGCGTATCTCAAATAAGGGACTTGTTTCCAGTGTATATAAAGAACTCACAACTCTGTTTACAAATGTGGAAATTGTCCTTTCCCAGGAAAAGGACATTTTTCAAAAAAAAAGATAGGCAAATGGTCAATAAACATGAAAAAAATGCTCAGAGTCATTAGTTTTGGGAAGTGCAAATCAAAACCACAATGAGATACCACTTGATACTCTCTGACTTAAAAGTAAAGACATTAACAAATGTTGGTGAGGATGTGAAGAAATTTGAACCTCATACACTGCTGATATGAGAATGGAGCCACTTTGAAAAACAATCTGCCAGTTCTTCTAATGACTAGACAGGTACTTCATGAAAGTTATTCTACTCCTACCTGAAAGCAGGGGAGACATTTATCCATACAAATTATTATAGCACCATTCATAAGAGCCAAAAGTGGAAACAACCCAAGTGTCCAGCAGCTGTGAATGGAAAAACACAATGTGATACAGCTATACCATGTTAAGGTTATTTAGCCATTAAAAGTAATTGAATACTAATAAATGCTTCAATATGGATAAACCTTGAGACTATGTCAGTTAAACTCCTTTGATCTGCAGGTCACCTTTTATCTTATGCCTACTTGAAAGAACTTTGCATTAAAGTTGTAAAACTCGGCCCTATTCTGAAATGGGGAAGCAATGGGCATCCTAGGATTTATCCCTAGCATATCATCTTGTATTTATGTAACCATGCAGATAGCCTAAGTTTCTTGATACCCACTTTGACCTCAGAATCCTTCCTATCTCAAGTGATTTTTTACCTTGAAATATTCATCATTTGCTTTCAAATGTTAACATTATTGTTTTTACTTACTGTACATGATGGGTTTTGAAAAGAAAACCCTCAAAACATGCCACAGATTATGGGCAAGCACTCAAAATACAACTGATAACAGTTTGCAGCAAATTGATAAACTTTTGCTCTAGAGCTTACCTTTGTCAAGACTCATAAATTGAGAATTCTGTACTGAAATGTTTATCATTTAAATACTTTTTCCATTAAAAACAGGGAAGTGTTCGCCAGTTACTACATGAAAAGATAAGAGATGCTTACACTCATCCACAGTTTGTGACTGATGTGATGAAGCCTCTTCAGATTGAAAACATAATTGATCAAGAGGTATTCTAACATAAATATCTATTCAGATTTTTTATTATTTTAAACTTCAGATGTCTTTACATGATTTACCAAAACTCCAATCAGGTGCAGACATTATCTGGTGGTGAACTGCAACGAGTAGCTTTAGCTCTTTGTTTGGGAAAACCTGCTGATGTCTATTTAATTGATGAACCATCTGCCTATTTGGATTCTGAACAAAGACTGATGGCAGCTCGAGTTGTCAAACGGTAAGGGTCTTGCTCATAGAGTATTAGTTTTGATTATGTGTGGTGGGATACAAATGTGTTTATTGTAACGTGAATGTTTTATGGTCACTAGAAAAGATTTCAAAATTGTCATGTTACAGTTTCATACTTCATGCTAAGAAGACAGCCTTTGTTGTGGAACATGACTTCATCATGGCTACCTATCTAGCAGATCGAGTCATCGTTTTTGATGGTGTTCCATCTAAGAACACAGTTGCAAACAGGTAAAATTAGTTTTTAAAATGTTGATAGCTAATATGTTCTAATAGTTTCAAAATTATTACATTTGAAATTTTCCAATAAACTTATAAACATTAAAGACATACAACTTTTTTTTCTGAGAGAGATTTTTGCTATAGTCCTCGTGCACTCGCCAGAGAAACAGAAAACAAGAAATCCTCTTGGGATTTTGGGCTCACATGCACACGTGCCGTGTGAGTTTTGACTATGTGGGAGTTCAGCGATGTAACTATTCCGCCATCTGCTGGTCTTCCTCCAGTGCCAAATTTCTAACAAACACGTCATTTTGTTAAATATTTTTCTGTTAAGATGGCAGATTTGAGATTCCGTATTCTTCTTAGATTCTTTTTTGTAAACTAGTACTTCTGTCTTAAATGCTTTTTTCAAGATCAGATATACAGTTTAAACTATGTGTGTTTTGCTCAAAAATGTTATAGTCAAGCAAACTCATGGCCCAAGCAAAGCCATTTTGAACATAGAATTCATAATATGCTAGGGCCAGTAGGTGGGCATGGTGGTTAAGGTGCTGGAGATTCACACACGGCTGATCATAGTTTAAGTCCCAGACCTGGCGGCTTGCTTTCTCACTCTCTCTCTGTGTCTGTCTCTGATCAAACTGAAGAATAATAGTAAGTTAAGAGTTCTTAGAAAAAAAAAATTATAATATGCCATTGTCCAGCATAAATTTATGATAAGAGGAAGAGAGACTTATTCTTTATCTGAAAAAGTAGCTACATTTGAGGAATAAAAGTTAATTAGAATTTATTTTTCCCCCACCCGTCTAGTCCTCAGACCCTTTTGGCTGGCATGAATAAATTCCTGTCTCAGCTTGAAATTACATTCAGAAGAGATCCAAACAACTATAGGCCACGAATTAATAAACTCAACTCAATTAAGGTATGTGAAAAAAGCTATTTTAAATCATGGGTAACCCCTTTCTCAGTATAAACACTGGAAAGTTATTTCCTTAAAAACTGGTATTGTATTTCACTAATTCTAAGATTCTGATACTTTTTTTTACATTTTAGTACCGGGTGGCACACTTTAGTCTCAGGCAGCAGCTGTGATATCGCTGCCATTGTTGTATGAATACAGGCCAAACTGTTCATTTGGTCTGAGTTGTGTACTCATATGTTGCTTACCATTTGAAATGAATGTCTTGAAAAAGATTACACTAATTCATCATTGAAAAGAAACTTTTAATACCTTACGCACTTTCTCTTACATGTTTAGTTTTTCGATACATGATTATAGTGCATAACTTTAAAATCTAAACAAGCTCCTTCAGTGAGCATAGAATTTCCAACATGGGAAAAGGTATACTTAATAGGCAGTGTTTTTCTTTTTTTTTTCCTTCTTGGTAGTGCATTTTGTCTGTAAAATATGGTATGTCTTTTAAAAGTCACAAGTCTGTTGGACACTCAGAAAAAGTGAACAGATTCTACAAAGCATCTCTACTGTACCAGCAGTGCCTACTTAATATATTAACATTTCTTACATCCATCATCCTAAAATTTAAAGCTGTAACAGTAGGTTACACATACCTGTGCTGTAGCATTTATTTTCATATTTGTAGTCCTAGCTTTGCTGCTAAACCTTGAGCCCTTGGAAGGCAGAGGCAGAGTCAACATACAGAACTTTGTCTTCATAAATGTTTACCTAACACTGTCTGGATGCCATTTGCCTTTGCTGTGTATTTGTTTACTCTCTGTCCAAGGTAAATAGCAAGTTTTGACATAAAATTGGAGACTTTTCTCAGTTCTGAAAAGCATATTAAGCAGAAAAGGCAGGAATTCCTTCTGAAGCGTTAGAACCGTTTATATTATCATTTCTTTTGTAGACTCACAGTTCAGTCCCCAGGTACACCTATATGCATTTGTGTATGCCCACTCGTTTGAACAGTCATCCTGGGCAAGTAGGCAAATGGACTGTTACTGGCCAGGAAACTATTTATTGGGCCATTAGAAAAGTCATGACACATTTTTGTATAGAAAGAATACATCATGACGTTTTCAATGACCCCATGTATTTTTTTAACAGGCAGTTCTCAGACTGACTTGACTTTTGGGCCAGGAGCTTACAGTTAAAATGATGAAAAGAATTTAATACTTTCCCCAGAATTATTACAATTCATAGCACAACTTTATATATTTAAAGCATCTTACATTAAAGAGACTTTGCTTGACTTGGTGTAGGTTGAGATATTCTAGTAGTAGGGGTAGGGAGTGAGGTAGTATCTGAGAGCCTTTGAGTAGTGGAAACAGATACCCAGAGCAGGTACTTTTGTAAACACTGCTACCATGTGTAAAAAAAGGTTCACTTCTACTTGTAGAAGAATGCTGATCTTTGTCTTGTGTTTAACTTTTTAGGACGTGGAACAAAAGAAGAGTGGAAATTACTTTTTCTTGGATGATTAGACTCAATCTTGAGAATATCTACAAGCCATTTATTAAAAGAAACTTACTGAAAACTTTTAATCAGGTTTAATG